ATTTTTATTTTTCTTTATCATAGATATTGTGTAAAATATTTAGTCTATATTTTAATAATATTTTGAATAAAAATTTTGATTTTATGTACCTTTATATACCTTTTTTCCTTTATGTATTTAAAATATTTATAAAATATTTATATAATATTTAAAAAAAATAATTTGGCATAAATATCTTTATCATAAATGTTTTGTGCTGTCTGGACTGGGTACCTTTCAATTGTTAGCGTGAAACGTTATGCAGGGTGTCTCAGAACAATCTACAAAACTTTCGTGAGAACGTAGAGCGGGTTAAAATAAATATAAAAGTCCTATACCGTTTTGCGATATTCTTAATAATAACTGAGAAATTAATTATGAAAGATTAAGAAAAAGCGTGTGCTGAATAGTAGAGGACGGACCGCTCGAGTCACAGCGCAGCCCAGTAATATAGCGCGCAGATGTCGCGTGTGGCGATTGGAAGACAACACACCACTGGCTACACTTATACCGCTGCGCTCCTACGTCTTGCCATACCGCGCTGTGGCGAGATATAGAAGCACAGTGGTATAAGTATAGGCAGTAGATCGTCTTCCAATCGCCACGCGCGACATCCGCGCGCTTTATTAGGGGTGTATATCAGTTGGACACGGGGCAATTGGACACGGTCCAATCACAAGTCGCTGTTCCAAGGGACTCTACAAATGTCTCTAATCACACGGTGCTGTGATTGGCTGTGTCCAAATGCACCGTGTCCAAGTGCACCGCTCCCCTTTATTAGTGGGCTGCGCTGTAACTCGAGCGGTCCATCCTTTACCATTCAGCGCACACTTTTCTTTAATCTCTCGTAATTAATTTCTCGGTTATTATTAAGAATATCGCAAAACGGTATAGGATTTTTATATTTATTTAAACCGTTCTATCTTCTCACGAGAGCTTCGTAGATTGTTCTGAGATACCCTGTATATGCAACACTTGTACGACGTCATGCAATGACCATTTTAGTAACATCAGATATGTAACGTTATTAAAACGTTTCTTAATGCTCCAAAATGAAAGTTTTACATGACAAGTGTACATGTAACGTTATATAATTGTCTTCTAAACGTTTCGTATAACGTTTTGTATAACGTTCAGTTAACATTTTGAAATATTACTAATGACATGTTACAAATAAAATGTGCTCCAAACGTTGTAAAATGTTTAATATGAAACGTTAACACGGTTATGGATGTTACTTGAACTCGTAACGTTTCATTTAAAACATTACAAATAGTCTCGTAATGTTTCATTTAAAACATTACAAATAGTCTTTTTAAGTATCGAAATGTAATATTCTCACAACGTTTCGTTGACGTTAGAAATAAAACGTTTTATCAAAACTTTTATGCGAAATTGCATTAACATTTATTACGAAACGTTTTATATTAAATATATTCTTCTCGAATGTAACATCGCCTGAAAGTTTCATGTTTAGTGGGTAGGATATATTAGAAAATGCGATTAATGACCATTAATAATTTTTTACATTCTTTTTCCACAATGAAATTAATATTTATACGCAAGGTTTTTAGCTATTGTGAGAAAGTATCTATCGCGACAGTAATTGTGTCTAGTAGTACTTTCTTTTTTGCAGAGATCTCAAAAGCAATCTGGTTTTCGTGGTTGTCGGAGATAACATTTAGGGAGGCATGTTGACAATTTTAACTTTTCTGGTTCACAACAAGGAAGAGCATAGGGATCCTGTAATAATAATCACGATTTAATTCTATTTAATACACTCACTCAATACATTAATGTACCTGATTCTTTGTTCTACCTGCATTTTTATATAACAACAAGATATTATTTTGGGGCAAATTTGCGTGGGTGGTATGTACGACCGTTTCTCCGTGCATGACGGATCAATATTGACATCTTCTTCAGCTTTTTCCAGTTCTGACTTGATACATTTTCTCTTTGGTCTTTTTATGTTAGGAGGACACACTGATTTAAATTGTTTTATTCCCCATTCTAACCCTAGATTCACTAAACAAATAATTAAAATGTTTCGATAATGTATAAAGTATTCTTAATTAATTCCAATATAAAAGATGTCATCAAGTTCAGATATATAAACGTCATTCAATATTATTTTAAAGACTATATTTTGTACGTATATTGACCGTTCAGTACAAGAAGAAATAAATTTACCGTAATCTGCTAATTGATTCAGAATATTTTCGCATGGCATATCATTTGTTATAATAAGAGATTATAAATATTTAATTTAAATTACGTTATTATATAAAATTATAAAAGTCACAGTCTCTTCTCTTAAGGCCCTTGCACAATGCCAGGCTACAGGCAATAAAAGGTCTGTTCTTTCGCTCTGCACTAGAACTACACTAGCACTGCACTGGAACGGGAGCGTCCCGATTGACTACGTTACGATTGGACACAACAAACCGATGCAAATGTAAGGGCTATCGCACACAAATTGACATAACTGCATATGCATAGCATAAGACCGCATGTACCAATGAGCATCGAGTATTAAGTCGTACTGGTGTTCGATGCTTAATATTCGATGCTCATTGGTCCATACGATCTTATACTATGCATATGCAGTTATGTCAATTTGTGTGCGATAGCCCTAACGTCCGGACTTAGATCGTATGGACCAATGAGCATCGAATATTAAGCATCGAACACCAATATGGCGACTTAATACTCGATGCTCATTGGTACATACGGTCTTATGCTATGCATATACAGTTATGTCAATTTGTGTGCGATAGCCCTAACGTCCGGACTTAGATCGTATGGACCAATGAGCATCGAATATTAAGCATCGAACACCAATATGGCGACTTAATACTCGATGCTCATTGGTACATACGGTCTTATGCTATGCATATACAGTTATGTCAATTTGTGTGCGATAGCCCTAACGTCCGGACTTAGATCGTATGGACCAATGAGCATCGAATATTAAGCATCGAACACCAATATGGCGACTTAATACTCGATGCTCATTGGTACATACGGTCTTATGCTATGCATATACAGTTATGTCAATTTGTGTGCGATAGCCCTTATTTTGAAACATTAATAATATATTAATATAGATTGGAGGCCGACTTGTCTGATTTCAGACATCACTAGATATTTTATACCTATGTTACTAGACGTAAGTACGTACGCATATGTATATTCGCGCACGTTAAATATTATAATTAAAATTATAACGCTGAACACTGCGTGTCGTTAGAAAGTCTTAAAATCGATGGATCAACTGTAGACAAGAGAAACCGTAATCACTCAATGCGATAAGGCGTCCCGCTGCTAACATAAACAGGAACATGAAAACTGAATCCAAACACCACTCAGGATCGACGCGGTGACATTATACCGATGGGATGAATCTCTTCCATCTCCATGACTCCATCAGCCAATCAGGAAACGACTCTCAGCGACAAAGTGACATATAAAAACGCGCGCATTTGTTAAGAAGGCGATTATTTCTTCTTATAATTAGTCTCTGGTAATTCTCGTGTACTTATTTGGAATATATTAGTCGTAAAATCCAATTGTGTTGCAATTACTTTTGCCTACCCTTCATTTTTCAAACGTTGCGAAATTGAAATTCGGAATTGCGGGCCGCATCATCCCGCGTAGCGCCGAAACATCCGAGACCGAGCCAGGAGAACGAGCAGCGCTGATTTCTCGCCAGATTCATCGATTGTTTTGCCAGACTCCGGAGACCCAGGGTAAACTCGATGAAAAGCAGAGTGACCCAAAAGCGGAGTCATCACTCTGTTGACCGTCCACGTAGGTCACTGATTTCACTACTTTCAAATTTTCCTATATAGTTATTTATCGTGGACGTAACAGGGGATATATTTTTGGTGTCAGAACTGGGATCTTGTAAAAGCGAACGATTGATTTTATTGATCTTAGAGATTCTTGTGATTTCTTTTGGAAATGTCACATAATTCAGTCTCAAGCTCAAAAAACTATTGCAACTATTAGTGCTTCTACCACGAATCAGGATGCTTTATTAACGCCGGCAGAGGCGGAATTATTGTATAAACAATTAGACGAGAGAGAAAAAATGATACGGGAACAAGCAAATGCCCTTCGTCGTGAAAGGGAAGAATTCAATCAACAACGAACAAGTTCGGACGAATTAGAAATTATAACACAAACTTTAAAATAATTACAGTCTGATATAATACCTCTCAAAAACTTGCCGGAAAAATTTGAAAATTTAGAACAACGCGTAAACGAGCCCCCTCTGTCACCATCACTCTTCCTTGAAGCGACTCAAACGCCAACGACTGTACCGCAAATAAATTTAAAAATCAAAGACGTATTACCGAATATACTGAATTATGACGGATATAAGATATCGGTGTTTCAATTCGCGAACGAGCACGGGATTTATTACCTCCTTCACAGGAACCACAGTTAGTACAACTTATAATTAATAAACTGGAAGGTGACGCATATCGAATCATAGAAGGAAATTATTATGACACTGGTAACTGGCCTTTTAGACAAACTGAAAACAATCTCAGCACCTGATAAAACGGTCTCCCAGTATCGAGGGGAATTAGCAAATATACCAGGTCTGTAAATATAAAACCGGAATTTGCCCATAGATGGCTCTAGCTGTCAATGTAGTTACCGTCAAACCGCGTCATTGGCGCCATTTCCTTGTTGACATCTCTGACAAAGATTTTCAACTCACAACAATACAAGTTTCATACAACAGCATAGTTTAGATATAGTTTCCGGAATGGAGCCGTGTCTTGAATCAGCGATGTGCCGACGTTTCGCAAACGTTGCAGTTTGCATCATCAGGGCTGAGAACTCTGATACTGAGCTCCCTTGGGTAAAGGTTGTCCTTGGGTGCGTTCCATTTAACGCCCGCGACGCTCACGCTCGCAACGTCGTGATCACCCGTTCCACTAACGTGAGCGTTGTGATTAGTGGAATGAGTTACGAGCATCGCGGTCAGTCGTAGTATTACAAAAATGGCGGAAATTATAGTAGCATCTACTGTGCAAATATTACAGGATTCTTCTAACGAAAGCAGTTCCAGTTCCGAAGAAGAAATGTACGAAATATTGAAAGAGAAAGGGAAACGTATTTTACGCCCTCGTATAGAAAATTATACGCAATTAGTTGTTTCGTGTTATACGGCTGTAGAATTTAAAAGCCATTTTAGATATCAGGTTTTTTATACTTTCAGTTTGTTTTTACATATACAAAAAATTTTAGTGTTTTATAAATATATTTATTGCATGATTTTATAATGTTCATATTTATTTATCTGTTTTACGATTGCAGTTATTATTAATGTAAGTTTGTTTTCAGATTGCAGAGCACAACTTTTGAATACATTCTAAGCATTATTAGTAATGATCTAGTAAGAAAAATAAAAAGATGCAGTACAATTCCACCTGATCAACAATTAATGATTGCTTTATGGAAGATGGCTACAATGGATTCATACAGGTATATCTAATGTATACATTAGAAATTTAATATATGTGATTTATTGTCAATGGTTGTGTTTGTTTGCAGGTCAATTTGTGATAGATTTAATGTAAGTAAGGCTACAGCACTAAGAGCAGTCAGAAGAGTAACACATGCTCTATTGAGAATTGCTCAGCAATATATTTGTTGGCCTTCAGATGATCGCGCACAGATTATAATGCACAATTTTGAACGCGCTAGTGGATTTCCTAAGATAATTGGTGCTATAGATGGCACTCACATTAAAATCGAAGCACCAAAACAAAATCCAACAGATTACATAAATCGAAAAGGATATCATTCCATTCAACTGCAAGTAAGAATTATTACTAAAATATTTATAACAATAATTTCAGCCTGCATATATCAACTTTATTTCTTATTTTACCTACAATTTTCTTATTAAAGGTGGTGTACGATGATAGAACGTTAATTACACATTGTTATGTTAGTCATCCGGGCTCCGTCCATGATCAAAGAGTTTTTAGGCAATCCGAAGTAGTTGCATATTTAAATCATGAAGACAAATTTCCCTCTAACAGTCATTTAGTGGGAGATGCAGCATATGCATTACACGAACATCTCTTAGTGCCGTTTAAAAATAACGGACATCTGACTGCTACACAAAATCATTACAATTTTCGTCTATCATCTGCAAGAGTAGTTGTTGAAAGATGTTTTGCGTTATTAAAGGGACGAATGAGAAGCTTATTGCACTGCTTGCTAATGACCAGAGTCGATTTAATGTCTGAGTATTGTGACGTGGCAGCCATAGGGCGCCCGTCACAAGGGCAAAAGAGCTCCGTTCGTGTGATTTCGTGCATACCGGAAAAAGGGGAAGGGGGTGCATAGCGTTTCCCAAATAAGTTTTGGCGAGTACAAGCGACAGGTTCCGCGATCATACAGGTCAAGCGTAGAGGGGGGTTAATTAGCGAGGCATATGCGGTTCCGCAAATGGGATGGTCATCGCGCCCTACGATAATGTGCCCCCAACTCTCCTCGCCGACGCCGAAGGGCGGAGACCACAGGACACCGAGGGAACCAGAAGAAAGGAGAAACGTCATCAGCATCAAGGAAAGTCGCCGTTTAAATGGTACGTGCAACGGTACTTTAACTCTCGTATACAAGAACGTGTTATCGTTCCGATTTCGGCTGCCGCTGGCGATCTTTGTTTACAGCACGCTGCTAGACGCGGGACAGAGAGGCAAGACGACTCTCAACAGCTGTCAACAACACAGGTGGCCCGGAAATACGGAGATCCCAGCGAGACAAGCCAAAGAGAGAGAGAGAGAGAGAGAGAGAGAGAGAGAGAGAGGAAGGCTCGCCGAGGAGAGAAAAAGCGAGAACAAGGCGGGTTAAAGAGACTTGTCTACGAGCGATTCGGAAGAAAACACATTCTATTATCGTTTACCGCTAATCTCGATTTTTGCCGGAATTCTCGCTTTGTGAGCGGACGCGACAATACTAGTTACGGTGTGCCGTACTCTCATCGGCGTGGTGTAGCGAGGGCGACTTCATACGAGCGAAAGATCTCCCCCACACGTGATCGACCTTCGGTCCGGAGCAAGCCCGGAGACCTCGCGGAGCGACAGGAGGGCAACGGCGACGACGAGCGACAGGCGAAGCGATCGACCCGGAGGACCGGCGAGGAGGAGTCCGACTCATTGTAAGACCTCCCATTCGTTTCTTGTTTGTCGTCATTTTCACGAAATTGTCGCTCGAAACCTACCGCATGCAGAGTGGTCGCGCGGAACGCGAGGAAATCTCCCACTAGGAGAATATATCGTGAGAGCGTATCGAAACCAGCGAGAGACCGTGTCGGACACTTGCAGTGTATTGTATCGCCGTAATAAATAGCTATACCGAACGTACATTGGTCTTCTTTTCCTCGGCTTCCACCTACATTGATCAAACCCACCCCTACTCCGACTCAAATCACCAAAGAGCTGTTGTGCCCTCAATTAGGGTAAGCACAACCGGTAATTGGGATTCCGGTGCGAACGTGCAAACGGTTAGGATAATAAGGGAGTCTTATAACCTTGAGGAGTTTTTATAATAAAAATATATTATTGAACTTGTTTTCTTACAGTTTCCGATCACGTTCTATTACACTTCACATAGATACGTTTTAACTAATCCTTTACCGAGTAGGTTAATGTTATTATAATGCGAAACACTCTTATTACTCCCGAGTCAGCTGTCTCTCACTTGAGACATGTAACGTACGCCTCTATACTCGTCAGTATCTCTCTCTACTCTC